CCTTGGTTTCATAATTACGTTCAAGATCTTTTCCTAAGGTGGTGTGTGTGCGTGTGTCACATCATCTTACAGTGGGCGTATGGATGAAAATAAATAGCGTTTAAAGGTGAAACATCTTGCACGTGCCATCAGCCGTTACCGTGTGTGATGACGCAGTCGCTGTGAATGGAGGGAAAACAGGACTTCAAAGAAATGGTTTTAATAATTAATTCATGTTGTAATTGTTGCTTTCATTGCTCTGACACTGTGAACGACGGAGCCATTTAATTCTTATTACAATTGTTAAGCAGGCCATGGAGCCTGTCACTTACACAAGTGAGGAAGAAGAAGAAGTGCATGCTTCTAATTAACTGTTTCTGATTTAAAGACGTGATATAAAATCATGATTTTGTTCATTTCTGTCTCTGTCAACTCGCTGCCTAAGGTTTGAAACATTATTTTTACCACTTTAATTTCTGTCTCTGTCAACTCGCTGCCTGAGGTTTGAAACATTATTTTTACCACTTTATCACAAAAATCACTGCTTTTTTGGTTGATTTGAGGACACATTTGATAAACTATTTCAAAATACTGGACCTGACAAAAAACTGTATTTACAGGTAACAGTATTATATAAACAGGTTGTATAGGATATCAACAAAGACGTATCTGGTCCTCAGCTAAAGTCTTAGTTGGTTGTAAGATCTCTCTTTTTTCCAGTATTTAAAGCAGTATGAAACATTTTAATACGTTTTTATTATTTAAATTTATTTTTCAGCTCCATCCGTGTCAGAATTCATGTCTGTAGCTGTCAGGTTCAGAAGCACAGTTTCTTTATGTGCTTTTACTATTTGATAATTTGACAAAGGAAAATGCTGCAAGAAAGGAGAATATAACAGTAGCCTAACACTTTAATATCACATGTACAGTAAATGCACGGTCAGATTATAAGACTTTTTGCAGGTCAGGATTTTTTAAATTCTTTAGTTTTAATACTTTCTTTGATAAGTGTGGCTGTGACTAATTCACAGACATTTACTGTATGTTATCACCTATTCATAAAGTCATTATCTTCGATACACTTCTGTTAACAAAAGGTAATTTCTGATATAATACTGGCATTCAGGTACAATCAGAAAATTACCGAACACTGTTAAACTAGCTCTTATTATATACATATATTATATACTAAGAAAAATCACCTTAAAAATGACACAAATAGTGTTATTTTAACAGTTTATGTTTGATGTGAGAGAGATGAAATATTGGTACGTCAGTGATCAACCTCAGTCTTCATCTTCAGACGTATGCATCCTTAGGCAGGACACTTCGTTTGTTCCTGTGACTGCCTGGAGCGTTGAATGGGTTAATGGTGACAGTGTGAAGTACAGACCATTGACTGTTTTTCACCACTCTGACCCAGATGAAGTCTGCCAAAGGATGTCATAAAGAGGTTGGTTCGCAGAAATGGGTGTCTGTGTGTCTTTGAGCTGAACTCTTTTCTTAGAATTAACACCAAGGGGAAGCTGCTCTATTTATAATTTGGCATAAAAAGCCTAATTGACTCATTCTGTGGCTCTTCTGTCATATTCAGGTCAAAGGCACTAGTTGGATCAGGATTCTTTGTTTTATGTTTTGTTTTCATTTTGACCAAACAGCAACATCAGGGACCACCAGTGAGACCACTTTGTCAGAGCATTGGTGCTCTGCTCAGCCTTGGCTCTGGTCTGTGTCAGACTTCCTGACACTGGGCGTCTACTAACAGTAAACCAAGCCTTACTACAAAACATATCATATACTCAGAGCATGTGACTGTGTCATGTGAAGATCTATGTTATCCTAAAGTTGTCAATTACCTCGATAGACAGAAACAAAGTGAAAGACTGAGATTGAACACTGGAAATATGTGTTGTGAAAAGAAACCAGGAATATATGTGTATATACATTCGTGGTTTGTTTTCTCAATACATATTCCCAGATTCTCACTTATTCACTCCAGTCAGTATGCTAAGTTACTGCTAGCTACAGTGGCACTGTATTTATATAACCAAAAAGAAGCTGTTAAAGTTTCACCTTAACAGTTGGAGTCTGGGTCCTGGGTCGTCAAATCAGAAACCTGTTTGTGTTGAGATGGTGATGCTGTGGTGGAAACTGGTCTGAAAGTGAATGTGAACAACAGCAACTTCATTTCAAAGCTTCGTGAAATAATTATAAAAAGCCAATATCACGGTGCATTTCTTTTTATATCTGTTCCTGTGATGGACTGGTGAACTGTCTACAATGTAACTACGATGTAGCAATGTAGCTACCTCTTCATTGTGGTCCGGCTTGCCGTCATAGTACTGGTCGATGGGCTGATTCCCAGTAGGACTAAATGAATTGCGAGTGGGCTCCAGTGTGTTAAAACTCATCCCATTAGTGATTTGGAGTCACCTTTACAATTCATGGCAGTGAGTGTTTCTGCAGTCTGCTGGGAAGAGATGAAGGAGAGGCACTGTACGATGGTAGGAGGTAGCTGATGTTGCAGAGATTCTCTGCTAAGACATGTTTTCCTAAGGTGACGAGCACAGACAAAGAAGTCAGTGCAGTGTGATGAGAGACAATAACAGGGGAGAAGAATGGTGAGCAGCGGATTAGGGAAGGGGGGAGCCGCCGCTCAGTATCTCTGGGTAGAGCCTGCTCAACCGCAGAGCCACTCGAAATGCGCCCAAGCGACCGTGCCCTCTGATTGGTGGAGCGCAATGCAGGCCCTCCACCCGCCCCTCTTCACTCCTCCCCCCCATGAAGAAAGAGGTGCAGCATGAGCTTCAGATCCAGACAGCACAAGACTCAGCACAAGTGAGGCAGGATTTTATTTTACTCAGCTCTCTGGATGCACTAACAACAGTGCAGCACTGAGCTTCTACCAGCACCGCAGCATCATCTCTAAAGGGCTACATCTAAACCATCAGATTAGAAAGATTTGCTTTTTAGACTCCAAAACCAACAAGAAAAGCTGATTCTAGTGGATTCAGATCTTCGCACTGAGAAGAGAAGCCACCGTTCACCATGGGCAGGCAGGGGCTTGATTCTTCTGCTCCAGCTCCTGGAGGGCGCATCCAGCGTTCCCAGAGCAAGATGAGTCTGTCAGCATCGTTTGAAGCGCTGGCCGTCTATTTCCCCTGCATGAACTCCTTTGATGTGGAGGATGGCGGTAAGAGAACAGCAGAGGAAGTGCGACAGCGCAGGCAGCAGTGCTGCTAAAACAGAATGATGACATGTAAGGAGAAGGAGGAACGTAAGGTCAGTCAGCAGTATTGATTGGCGAGGGTCGTGTTGCTCCTGATGGAGAGGAGTAATTAGAGTAGTAAGAGGAGCAGTGCTGTTAAGTCGGCGTTTCAAGGAGCTGGAACTCTGGCTCATGTCTCCTATCTTGTTCCGAAATAAAATTCTCGTTTTGAAAAAGTTGGCACACTGTAATATCAGTAGGGTTGGTTTGGAAGTTAGTTTGGAGTTCATTTAGATGACACTGTCAAGATTTATTATTGTAAAATAATTGTATTGTAAAAATATCTTAACATTCTGAATATTTTTTAATTTGGTTTGGGTTTAAAAGGAGCAGCACTGTCTCTGTAAAGGTGCTTTATGTTTATGATTAACATATAAAGGTCCGTACATTTAAAGCCATTTTTTGTGCATTAACATTTTTGGGATTTTTTTTCCCCATTTTACAAAACCGTACATAAGTAACAGGATTAGAAGACTTGAGTGAAGCGGTGTTTAGGATTGGTTCTCTTTAGCCTGTGGTTTGTGGTGTTCAGAAGAACATCAGCCTTGTCTCATGACCCTCAGCTTCAGTGTGGGTCTGTGTGGTGTTAGCACTTCCTCTTTGTGTGTTTTATCTACTGAGAAGTTCACTGATTTATCTCTACTGTATCTTCATACTTCCTCTTTGGCCGATGTCTTTTTTTCAGCTGCTACTCCAGGCTGGTATTCCTTCCTCCCTACACTGACAACACAGCAGCTCCTCTCCTTTAATGTCACTGTCTTCTCCTCGGCTCAGATTTTTGGACAGTGACTGGTTTGGCTTTGAGCCCGTTTGTCTTTAACCTAAGGACTGCTTCTGCTTCATGGCTGCCAGACCTCATTAGCAAAGCTCTGCCGCCACATTCTCCAACTACCAATGATAATACTGTCATGTGTGACACGTAGGGTTCATCTGCTGCTGCTGAGAATGATGTGGAGTGTTGGTTGTTAAAGGAGAAACCGTACAATTTATTTTCATGAGAGCAACATTTGAGTCACTGCCACCTTTAAAACAAACTGTTTGATATGTTTCTTTAAAATAACACAGAGGTTTTTTTTTGTCTGAAGCCAAAGACAAGATGATTTATTTTGTGTGTTTGGAGTTTTCTTTGTTTTCTTAATGGCAAGCTAACGGAGCTCCGTGAGCTTGGCTGTGCTGCTGACGTCAAAGACGTCCTCAGTGACTGCGTCTCCATTGTAGTATTTGTAGAGGTGGAAGAGGAGGCAGAGGACAGCTGAACAATTAAGATCAGAAGGCTAAAGGATTGTTCATGTGCTGTTTGTGCTTGTGTGAGATAGGTCATATGATCACCCCTCTTCTCCTCAGCTGCTCACCTGATAAGACAAGCAGAGGGGAAAGTGTAGACAGCACATGTCTGAGTAGGAGGATGCTGGAGGAGTGGATGATGATTCATCCATTCATGTTTACACTTCATGCATAAAGAGTTTGTTATTACCGTATAACCTGGAGGTTGCAAAGATGAAGGGGTAATTAGACTTGGGATAGCTATTTTCATCTGAGTTTGTAATAACCATCAGACATGTGGGAAATAACTTGATCCCCTTGTTTTGGATTATTATACTCAGTGATAATAAAGAAAAACATCTTTCTGCTTTAGATCATTTATTATTAATAAATAATTCTTGTCGTTGGCTGAGTGAGTCAAAGATGATTCAACATCCAGTTCACTTTTATGGTCACACTCATGTTCTGTCTCTGTTCCTTCTCTGTGTAGAAGCAGGGGGTAAGAAGCTGCGCAGCACTATCCAGAGGAGCACAGAGACGGGGCTGGCGGTGGAGATGAGGAGCAGGATGACTCGGCAGGCCAGCCGAGAGTCCACGGACGGCAGCATGAACAGCTACAGCTCCGAGGGAAAGTAAGGAGAACAATGAACTGACACAGAAATGAGTGTCAGTAAAAATGATCGTATTTAACCCTTAATAAATAAATGTGTGTCTCTGTGTTTCAGTCTCATCTTCCCGGGTGTGCGACTCTCCTCAGATGCCCAGTTTAGTGACTTTCTGGATGGTCTAGGTCCTGCCCAGCTGGTAGGGCGGCAGACATTGGCTACTCCACCTATGGGTGAGATAATAAAATTGCATTTATCTATTAATGTTATAGGTGTGAGATGATGATATAAAAATGATTGATGCTTTTATTAAATGGTTAATAGTCGCTTATTTATTGTACAGGTGACATCCAGATAGGCATGGTGGACAAGAAAGGTGCACTGGAGGTGGAGATCATCAGAGCCCGTGGCCTTGTAGGAAAACCAGGTTCCAAGGCACTGCCAGGTACTTCAGTGTCTGACATTGGCATTATTACATGCAGTTAGTTCTATCTTTATTTTTAATATAAATTTGAAGCACTGAAAATGGTAACAGTGCCCCCCCCTTCTCCCTCCAGCACCATATGTAAAGGTCTATCTTTTGGAAAATGGAGTCTGCATAGCCAAAAAGAAAACAAAAGTAGCAAGAAAAACCTTGGATCCTCTTTACCAGCAGCAACTGCCGTTTGAAGAGAGCCCAGGAGGGAAGGTTTTACAGGTGATGAAGACGTCGCATGTCCATGCATTTTAACAGTGACAATGTATATATCTGCTTAATGCCACCAGTGACTCCAGTGGTTGTAGAGTACGTGACACAAGAAGTGATTTTGATTTTGTTATTGTGATTACCAAAATGAAACACACATTTTCAGAAAAGAAATCCTCCTAAGCTTAAGATTTTTTAGATTAATTCATTTTATACAAATTTCTACAATGTATGAGTTTTTATCCATCTCAAGTCATATGATACAAGATGAAAATACTCTACGTAATATTTATTTATTTTTGCAAAACATAATTTATAATATAGAAACCTAATTCAATAGACTAAATCAAATACAAAATTGAATCCAACTATTTTGGAAAAGAAGTAAAGTTTCCTCCAAGAACATTTGAAAAGTTTTACTTTAATAAATAACGTGCATTTTAAAATAAATCCAGAAACACCTATTTTCTTTGTGTGTCACATGGTTTTGTCATAAGCCATGTTTTGCTCTGCTAACTGAAGTGAAAGTTTCTGTCAACCATGATCCTTATTTTGACTCTCTGTCCGTTCACCTGCGTAGGTTATCGTATGGGGTGACTATGGACGTATGGACCACAAATCCTTCATGGGAGCAGTTCAGATACTGTTAGACGAGCTAGACCTGTCCAACATGGTGATTGGCTGGTTCAAGCTCTTTCCTCCTTCCTCACTGGTGGACCCCACTCTGGCCCCACTGACTAGAAGAGCTTCCCAATCCTCACTGGACAGTTTCTCTCGATCATAGCAGCCTGTGGACTGATAGCGTTGTTGTAGCAGCCGGTGTTGCGATTACAGGTCACGCCCCCTGGTTACACTGCATGCTTGATGTTGTGTCTTCTGAGCCTGTTTCTAGGGGTGCAAACGTGATCCTGTGTTTTGAGCAAAAGCGTCATCACGCACGCACGTTGTGCACGTGACAAAAGCGTTTTGCGACCGCCTGGCCGCCCGGCGATCGCCAGGTGTTGTTGTTGTTGTTGTTTGGAGGAAGCTGGAATGAACTCCTTAGCACGAGGAATCTGTCAGTTCCAGGTTTTCATCCAATTCGAAGCCATGGGGGGGGCAGAACTGGGAACCACTCAATGAGTTCTACAGAAGCCCTTTTTTTCGAATGAAAACTAAATGTTTTGCTTTGATTATTTTTTTTTTCCCTTTTTCCTTTATTTATTATTTTTTCTTTCAATGTCTATGTACTTGTATCTGAAGGGCGTGATAGTGTTTCTAACCGGACGCTTGGTCACGCCACGCCAACAGACCTAGCTGTGTAGATGGGAGTTTTGCAGACGATCACTTTGGGTGAGGTGTGTCCCAGCTTGTATCCACACTCCCCCAGAAAAACCAAACAAAAAAGCCCCGCATACACCAGGTTTATGTACTAAATCAAACTGCACGGGTGAATCAGAGGCAATACGACGTGGCTCCTACCATCAACACCTCAGAATAGTAACAACTCACACACCACGAAAAGATGTACAATCTACCATCCTTCTCTCTCTGTTGATATATTGTATGAAAATTAAGTGAGAAGAAAAATATTTTGTTCCTTTTTAGTTCATTTGCATGAACACGAGTTTAGCTAAAGGTAAAAATAAAAAATAAAATTATTTTCTTGAGGCTGCAACTTGCAAAAAAAGGGTGAAAATGAATAAAACAGATCAGCCATTTTCAACAATTTCTATTATTTTTAAGGATAAATTTCACTAGTGCATGGTTTTCAAGGGGAGTGAATGCAACACCGTGATTTAAAAAAAAAAAAAACATTGTTTCTCATTCTTTAAAAACCATCCGTGCGTCTGTGTTTGGCAGACCTGCAGATAAGGGAAACTTTTTGGACGTTATTTAACAGAAAAAAAAAGTTTATGTGACAAAAAGTGAAAAAGAAAATAAATGTAAATTATTTGTTTCATTGTTACAAGGCCGAGGCCTTACGGAGATAAACATGCAAATTGTACATGTGTCTCTTTTTCTTCCTTGTCCCAGGGTACCTCTCATTGTACTGTCCATCGCTACCATCATTCAGTCCCCTGATACTGTCCAGATTTTAGGACTGTTGGTTATTTTACACCTCTGTATTGTTTCTGTATGTTTTTTTTTCTTCAATTTTTGGGTTTGATTTGTTTAACAAGCATGTTGAAAAGGAGTTTCTGCAACATGGCTTGGGCACACCTTACAGTAACTCAGCATGTTTTGATAGAGATGATATTTGGAAAATTTGCAGTTTCTTGTACAGTGCATGTCGACTTCATTACTTTTCTCCCTCACTTTGAATTGAACTTTACAGCAAATTAGTTCTCGGTCTCTTCCATGACCAGGTAATGAAGTTGCAACAAAAAACATTCCACCCCCACAAGGTCTTTTTTTTTTCAGGATTTTGAGAAAAAAAAAAGGTGACAATTAAATATTTTATATTTAATGGAGGTTGACAAACCAGTTGTGATTGCAAGTGTATTTTATTTCAGTATTGTTGAAGAACATGCAAAAATATTCTACTGGTACAGCAGGAAGTCTATACCTAATCAAGTGGCAGCCAACGTGCCGAGGACGTGCGTGGCTGCTGTTTCATTTTACAGACACTGTATGTGAAGAGAACAAGTTCAAATAGCAAGGGATATTGCCACAGAATTTTTTTTCTTGTTTTAATGAAAATGAAATTAATTTACTATATTTTTGTTAGTTTCATTTAAAAGCCAAGACCAGTTTATTTTTAATTTTCTATTTTTAGTAATTACAAATACTTCCCATGTCTGGGAGGTAGGTGAATCTTATAGTTGCAGTATGTCTGAATGAAATTGAATCAAGGCATTTTTCCTTTTCCATGTGACGATTACACGTTTTAATGTCATAAAAAAGAAAAACCCAATTGCTGTAACATCAGTGGCTACAGTATATATTTTCATTTCCAGTTTCATTGTACATAACCTTAAATGTCAAAGAAGCAACTGAGAATAGATATTTGATGGTAGACCTTTGGGGGAGGAAGAATGCCTCAAATAATGAAGAAGACATATGTTATTTCTCCTTTTGAATGCCTTTTCAGTTTCTCTTTTTGGTGCAATGTGTTAATGCCAAGGCTATGTCTTGGTGAAGTATGGTTGAGTACAGAGATTTATGTAAGTTATTTTTCAAATTAAAATTAAAAAATGATATTACACTGACTCTGTGTTTGCTGTCTTACTGCTGCGCACAGACTTTGTAGTTGAGAACAAGTTGCTTCTTTTATTAATTAACTCTTTATGGAAGCAAATACTTTAGACCAAAACCACAAACATCAAAACTCAGCGTCATATTCTTCTCTGCTTCTGCTTTTGGCTAAAAAAAATGACCAGGTCATGATAATGACTGTAGTCGAGGAACTTCCTGTTTTTGTTTGTATTTAAGGTCTTTGAAGGGACACACATGACTAGATGCTCAGCTACGTACAGGAGGACCAGGACACCCTGACTGACCAATCATCTGAAGACTGAAGAAGCAGTTGATTCATTAAGCCAAATCAGGTGTGCAGCTCTTCGTGGACCTCTTTAAGGTGTCAGAGCCGAGATCTCCAAATGGTCAAAGTCATTCCTCTCACACTTGGAATGCTCCCGTCCGGGGTTAAAATAAAAGAGGGTTTTGAAGATGTTGGATCTCTGGCTGTGGATGTTTTCACATCAGGTGACAGGGACGGCCTTCAAAGAACTCTAATCCTTCTTGTGACGTGCAGCTTCTTCAGTCTGCTGCTCAGCTGCCTCCTCCTCCTCTACCTCTTCTTCACCCTGAACTACGGTGTAGCAGTAGCTGCAGGTATCTCCGGCTGCTTTGGGACGACACTTACTGTCATCCTCTTCCTATCAAAGAGAGTGAGATGTGTGGGAATTCTGTTTGTCATCTCCATCTTCATGAAGAAGAGTCGGAGTTTGCTGCTTACTGCAGGGACCAGTTTGGTTGTGATGAAAAATATCAGAAACACCCTGGAGAACCTGAGTGGACTTCTCAGGAGTATGGTTTGTAACCTGAAGGAGAAGAAATCAGCCATCGCTGGACCGTTCAGGAACTACGTGCAGGTCTTGAAGTGGATTGGAAGCATGCTCAAGGGGATTACAGACCTGGGGGTGGTGAACGTTGATTCCCAGCTGAAGGTCTCAGCCAGACTGGAATCAGAAACGTTTGAGGAGAAGCTCAGGGAAACAGATCGGATGTTGAACGAGACGGTGACATATGTGCAGACGCTGGTGAGGACAGTGTCCTCTGTGATGGACAGGATGTTTCCCGCCATCAGCTTCTTCCTGCTCGTGTTGTTCATAGCCTTGCATTTAAAAAAATACTGCTTTGATGTGAAATATAAAAACAGGTTCATCAGCGGCAGATTTGTTCGCTTCGATGAGAAGCAGAAGGCAGAAGGAAGACCTCACGTCCTCCCTCTGACTCCAGAGGAGAAGGAGCTGTACACCACCATCACCTCCGTGTGTCCCGCCGCCAGAGAGAAGAAGGCTGTTGTCAAGTTTGGTGTCGCTGTTGTTGCTCATTTTGTAACCTGGGTCATTTTTATCACAGTAGATGCTCTGCTCTACTGCTTTGTGGACATTGTCACAACCAAACTGTCAGAGCTGGAACCGTTCCACGTCCCACTGATAATGAAGATCAGTGTAAGAGCGGCTGTTGAAATCATAAAATAACCATTTGTTGTATTCATTTCTCCAACACAGTTACTTACACTTTTTTATTTATTTGTTTTTTTGTAGGAATTTTCTACTTTAATTGGGATTCCATTGAATGAGAAAAACAATCAAGAAGACTTTTCCTTCTCTGTGACCTTGTTTGAGAAGAAGTGTCTTCCCAAACCGAAGCTGCTGCTGTACGAATCCATATTCCCACTGGCTGCTATCCTGGTGGTTCTGCTCTGTATGACTCTGATGGCTGGTAAAATGGTGCAGATCAGGCTGATGGTCTGTGAGCAGTTCTACTCCACAGCTGCTGAGGAGAGAGTCCAACACCTGCACGGCAAAATCCTGCGGAATAGATTTAAAAAGAAGATTAAAGAACGTCACAGGCTGAAGTCAATATGTTCAAAGGTAGGTTTTTAAACTAAAATCTAAAAAAACTGTTGATAATACATGTATGATATTTCTGACCAAAGTTTGTTTTTTGTTCTTTCTTGTCAGATACGTTTCTGGTTCCCACTGCTGTTCAGGTCCACAGATGATCCACAAAGTACTGTGTGAAGGTTGTACTGACGCTTAACATTCTTCCTGAAGTCTTTGGAGATTTTTTTACATGTAAAAACATCTAGAATAATAATGATAATGTTTTCATGGCAAGATATATAAAGGAGCTACTTAGAGGAAGTGCTGTGATGTTTGAAACTTGACAAATGAATGCATCGAATCATTAGACTTTATCTTCAAGGCAATTATGTGTCGATGAGAGATAAACCTATGGTATGATTTATTTATGTATTTAACATATTTCACATACATTTTATTTTTTATAGTTGTTGTCTTGTAGCACATTGAACAGTCAATGAAGCTTTTCAACTCCACGGGTTTTTTATTTTATTAATTTTACATTCATTTGTTCATAATAACATTAAGTTAAGGTCTGCACGTTTGAAAAGAAATCCACCTTAAACGCAGTGATGGGAATAACGGTGTTATTAACAGTGTAAATGTGGTGTGCAGTGCTTGGTAGACTTGTTTGCCTAAATTAATTATAAATAAACAATGTTTTATATTAAATTGGTTTTGATAAATATTAAGTATATAATTTCATATTTTTTTCTAACTATGCTGAATTAGGATTTTCAAGTGTAGAAACTTTTATTTGAAGAAACGTATTGGTATATTGCTTTTCATTAATGGTTGATGTATTAAAAATGTATATTTTACTGAATTTTATTTATAAAAAACTGCATAACTACATATTTTAAGGCAAATGAGGGCATTTTCATTCACGTTTTAGAAACTTATTTTTTATGTTTTTTTTTCAGAATCTTATTAATAGAGTACATTACTGTTATCAATGGTTGGCAAATATTGACCATAAATATGAACATAGCTGTGTATTTTAAAGCAAATGTGTGCATTTTTGATCATTTTTGAAGACTTGCTAATTTTTGAAAGCCCGGCTACAGCACTGTCAGCACCAAAGGTGCAGTCAAACACATCCAGCCAGTTACACTGACTGAAGTACTTTAGAAGGAAGTGCTGTAGCAGAAGGATGAGTGGACCATCTGTGACTCACACGTTGCCACTGACCCGTGTGGCAACATGATAAGCTCACATTATGTCTCAACTGGCCCTGTGGCAGACTAACATGCCAGTATTATTGCCCAATAGGAAGCTGCCACATGATACCTGATGAAAATCACTACATTGGGAGAAATGACTGCAGTCCATACATGGGCATGGATGAAGCCCAATTACTGATGCTGAATATGCAAATCTGCCCAGTGTGGGTCAACAAAGCACACACTGATATGTCACTTAGTGAACCTATATTTAAAATGTTTATTTTTTAATACTTTTGTGGGGGCGAGAGGGTATAATCCAAACAGATCATTCAAAATTAATGTTTAATTTCAATACAATGTTTTATAACCTTTATTACATCTGTAGAAATTATAAAAGAAAAATAAGAATTAAATGTCCCATTCCTTTTCTTTTAAAACACATCAATGTAAAATAAAGAAGTGACATGTGACCTACGGAGCAGATCTGGAATCCGTTTGTATATAATATAATAGAGGTAAACCTGTGTTATGTTGATCTAAGTGCTGATCAGATATGTCTGTGAAGGTTTGTCACATAACTCATTATTTTAATGACACAGCTACACCAACACTGTGTTTGTTTTGGTTTTTGAAAGCTTCTGGATCGTTCTGTAGACACAGACAGCAGGAGCCAAAAACTGTCTTTTCATGTTGTGCTTCAGCTGTTCACAGAGAAATGACTTCTCCTTCATAGGGTTCTCTGATCACAGCTGTAGGTTTCCCCACCTGCAGTCAAGAACACAAAGAGAAAGGAAAGGTCAGATGACCCCAGTGTGCACTTTCTCCTGGTCTCCAGCAAAACATCATTATAATTCAGGTTGTATGAAAATGATGCAGAAGGATCATATGGTATTATCTGACTGTGGAACACACATTATTTACCTTATGCAATTTCGTAATTTTGTAGCAATATATTTCAGTACTGGAACTGTTGGCTTTTACTGACCTGATCCCTTTGCACAATTCTTTTGTAAACAAACTCAGAGAAAGGTTTTCTGTGGATGAATTTCCCATGTCCTGGTTCCACCTTCAGCTGTCCGTCTTCATAGACCACCTGGCCTCTGGAGATGGTGATGACGGGGACACCATGGCACTCCATGCCCTCAAAGATGTTGTAGTCCACAGCCTGGTGGTGAGTCTTGGCTGATATCTTTCTACAAAGACACAGAGAAATACACACAGAGGTGAGTAAATATATTCTCGTTAGCGACCACATGCAGAGTCGATGTGACTGTAAGGGAAGTAGTTACTGCACTATTGCAAAGACATTTTGTTTTACTCCGAAACTGACGGAATCAGGTCAAAATGTACTGCAGCAGTTACTGCAGCTTACTTACCGCACAGCAACAAGTGATGCCATGTATTATTCATACAGTTGCCTGAGCTCTCTCCCTCTAAGACACTTACTGAGCATATATTTTATCCCCCCTGTCTCCTTCTACCTATAGCTTTTAGTGCTGCTTATTACAATATTCAGCCTTCTATTTTAATAACTGTACCTTTTGCTGCATGATCTTTTATCATCAATAGGCAAAAAGCTCTAAGAGGAAATTCTCAATACTTGGTACAAAGATGTAAAAATCTCTCAGTGGATTGAAAAACAGCATGATGTAATCTTCCTTTTAAAGCCTTATATTACTTCCATTTATGTGAACAGATTTCCTGTTGATTTGTAAAAGCCATACAGTGTGAGGGATTGATCTGGGAAAAAGAGGCGTCTGCTTTATTCCTGCAGCCTAATAATAAGACAGAAAACCACAGACTGGTTCAGAGACATCTCTGATTATGCAACCATTCATGGTTGCCCCCGGTCCCAGATGTTATGAAGCAGGAACTGCATTTAGGCCAGTGATAAATTGTGCAGTTTCACAGATGAATTTGTGGCAACAGCAGCGGCAATCAAACACACATCAAACAAACATCTCTCATGCTTGAAAAACAATGACATATGGAAGAACCACTAAAAAATATCAAACCAACAGATGAAGTTTAGGGGAGAAGCCTCCAATGATGGACTGTTATTATAACTAATAATAATACAGGTCTGAGGAAGTTAGTATATATATATATATATATATACACACTGTATAAACAAACACATACATAAGGAAAAGTATAGAAAACTGCAGCATGTTACCATGTGGTCTCTTTACGTCCACATCAGTGGGAGTGACATCCCTGGGGGCTTCAGATTCTACAGCTTACAGTGCAGTGCAGGGACATTGTGGGTTACATAAGCCTGAGCGTGTGCTGCTGTCCCTCACTGTCTGTATCTGCACCTGTGTTTGCATGGTCCTCAGTAAGGTCATAGGCACCATATATGGGCATTAGGTACATAAGAAATCAGAAACACTGCAAGTACACCTTCAGAATTCTTATGAACACTGTTGTCAGAGGCAGGCGGTCTCAGTGATTGTATTAAAAGATCTTTGTCCCAGCAATAAACAAACAAATAATTAGTACAAATTTTTAACATATTTTTAACTGAGAAAAAACGTCTTGCTTTTGATAACCCTAATATTATTGAGCCGTGTGATTTTCTAGACCTGATTTTAAGTGTGATTATAGTCTACAGATACACACAGCACACACCCATGTCTGTATTCATGATGCTCACCTGGTCCTCTTAGGATCCCATATAACAATATCAGCGTCAGAGCCCTTGGCTATACGGCCTTTTTGTGGATAGAAGTTGAAGATTTTTGCTGCATTGCTGCTGGTGACAGCTACAAAACGGTTTTCGTCCATTTTGCCACTGTGCTGAAGGAAAAAAAAAATAAAATCTCCATTAAAACAGAGCAATGTTGTCCTTCAGTTAATATTAGTTAATATAGTCAATTAAAAAAGCCACTACACAGTGTTATATGTATTGAGACATGTAGTAACATACTTAGCCCAGGGCATTGGAAATTAAGATTCTATGACTCAACATCACTGAATAACCATCGTATTATAGAAGGTTTCTATTGTTTCTATTTTTCATATTGCACAGGAACAAACCAGAATCCTCTGACCAGAACCACATGCTTGGTGCTTGCTATGGGCAGCCTGTTAACAGCATATCAGCTGCTAACACAACAATTTCCCAAATATGGGATATATATAGTACAAATTTATGTTTTATTTATTTTATTTAATCACATGTCCTACACGGTGTGTGGAACTTACCACGCCTTTCTCCCAGATGACAGACATCCTGTCCTCCACTCCATTTACTCCATTTGGGATCTTGGTGAAATCATCTTTCCCCAGAGCTTTTTGACACACAGAGAAAGTGCAGTTGTCTGTTCCGGTCACACTCAGATCATCACTGCAATGGGAAAAAATATATTTTAGGATTACTTCTTGGACTTTAATTGTTTACAAAATAGCTAACTTTTTTTGGTGTATTTTATTATTCTAAAATATTTTTCTGCTATTTCACATCTACATACTTGGCCAGGAGGTCCATGAGGTAACCAGGAGTGCTGGGGTCAGGTCTCAGTGGAGGACCCATGACAAAGGCTGCAGCATGTGCCCAGTCTTTGTGCCAGTAATGAGTACCATCAGTGCCCAGCCCTGCGGCAATGGGCTCCCCAAACACCACATGACCTGCAGAGAGACAGAATACATATACTATGAATAAATACTCTATTAGTTGTACTACTTTTAAAAGTCCATACTTGGAAAAAATATATAAAGGCTGATTATGTACCAAACAATAATGGTCTTTCAGCTGCTGTACAGAAGTAGAAGTAACGCTCACCGTCTCTACGTGCATTGGACACCACCTTGGCAGCAGATTTGCTCATGACATGGACCACATAGAGAGGACAGTTCACAGCACTGGCGATGGTGATGGCCCTCTGTGTGGCCTCAGCCTCCACCTCCTCTGGCCGACACAGTTCATGACCCTCTGGTCCTGTAATTCCGAGGGCCAGCATCTTTTTAGCCCCCTTCCAGGTTCCACCAGGACAGTATAAAGAGTAAAAGGTTAAAAGGGAACAGAGACAGCTAAAAAAAAGAAGACAATTGACAGACATTGCTGAAAAAAGACACCTTAGAAAATTTACATTTGCTGCACTCTAGTGGTAATGTAGTGGAATTGCATAACAAACACGCAATTAATCGCCATTTTTAAAGTTTTCGGCTATGACAGTGCTGGAAGAAAGAGACAAAATCTAATAGTTTCATAATGAATTAATCTTGCCAGTGAACTTTACACTAGTTGTAAAATATAAAATGTTTTTTTAGAACATTCAGTATTCACTTAGTAAGACTATTTTGACTCTAGTACCAACTCTGCCTGTTTTGGACTGGGTGAAGAAAGTCAGACTACACAAATGTGCTTGCGGTAAAGAAATGTATCATTACACGTAATAAAAAAAGACTGATCTTGGACTAAAACTCAATAATTGCATGTGCTGTTTCACAACACAACATCCCACTGGGCTTGTACCAACCTCTGCGATCAGATCTCCATTCTCAGCGTGGACCTGGGCTATAGCGCCGATCTCCTTGCACTGAGAGAAAGCAGCGTAGAGTTCTGCATCATGCAGCATGAATACATCTTTGTAGGCCATGAACATCTTGAAGGAATTCACTCCTTTTGTTTTGGCCAGAGTCTGCATCTCTTTCTTGACCTGAAATGCATAAAGAATGAAGTTGAACCAAAGCAGATCTTGATCTCTTGTGGTGTCAAAGAATGAACTGCATGCAGATATTTATTTAGTAGGGACATTGTGACCTCATCACTCCACCATGTGACAGCGACATGCAGCGAGTAGTCACAGCAAACTTTGAGGTCAGCTGTCTGACGCCAGCGGTCGTAGGCCTCCAAGAGAGACTTTCCTTTCTGAGGGATGACAAAGTCTAGGATCATTGTGGTTCCTCCTGCTACTGCAGCCTGGAGAATCACAAACATAGTACTTTGATATTAAATACACAAACACAACCAGATAACACAACAATACAATACTTCCTTCAAGGATACAAGACCTGTTCAATCCTTGTAAAATCTTACAGCAACATTTGACTCTTGATTCTTGTTTATTTTTCTGATTCAAGGATTTGTGACTTAAGTATAAAATGACACAATCGTATCACACACTGAAAAAAGCTGGAACTGAGGGGTTTTTTTTACACTTCACTCTGTAGAACTTTTCTTTTTTTTTTTACTTTATGTACCTTAGGTAAAACAAATGAAACTCCACCTTGGTTCCTATATGGAAATCATCCACCGCCTTGGTGCCCATGAACGCTAGCTCCATGTGCGTGTGTGTGTCAATGCCGCCTGGGATCACCAGTTTATCTGTGGCGTCAATGACGCGTGTATTCTGCGGGACCTGGAGATCCAGTCCGACTGCGGCAATTTTCCCATTTTCAACGTAGACGTCGCTGATCGTGGAGCAGTCTTCGTTCACAACTCTTCCTCCTTTTATCAGGATTCCAGTGGGTGTCATTTCAGCGGTGCCACACGGACGGTTTGTGTTTTAAAAAAGTCAGAAGGCAGCAGCTGCGGGTGCAAACTCTGTGCTGCGTCAGTGAGCGACTATATCGGCTCACACAGATTAAACACAGGCCTCAGCGTCCACGCCCCAAAGTTCACAGCAGATACCAGTAATGTTGGACAAACTTCACGACTAGTTGCGCAAATGTTTGACTCCTTCACTCTACAAAAACATATGAAGTGGGTGTTAACATTCGAGTTTCATTTCTTTCAGGTACAGTACTACTGTGGACCAGCAGAGGGTGGGCTGGCTACAAAAATCCCCCCTAACATAAAGAAGATCTACAAGAAATGACAAATACTTAAAAAAGAAAGGTAAGTGAAAAATTGATCAAATAGATAATAAAGTTAAATCAAATAAAAATGCACATAGTAATTAATTTGTTTTATGCACCGTTTTAACACATGTAATAAAGATTTATTTTTTTATTTTAAAAAATAGACCACCAACCTGTTACTGGGGACAAAACTGAAGTGAAACTAAAATTTTCTGAATGACCATATACTGTAGTCAATATCATGTTAAAATAAACAAGATGAAGAAGAGCATATTGTTTTTACACTTATTATAGAAAACCCAAACAGATTAGACTAAGGAAGCATTTGTTTGTTCTGGCTGTTTCCAGGACAAAGTCCAAAAGTCCCAGTCGGTTGAGCAATTGCTGTGGCAGTAACAGCTATAACAGCTTTTGTCCATTACTCTTTATTATAAATTCACATTGTAGAAAAAAATATACCAGTGCACTCCTTAAGTTTTACTAGTATGCAAAGGATTGTATTTAGCATTCTTCCATTGGCCAGTTTAACCTCTCTTCTTCACCCCATTTTACAGTCAGGTTGTATGATCTTTCAGGCACATGATTACTCTTTGTCTCAAAAACAAGTTGCTTCATGTCCTGACATCTAGTCATCAGTTCCCTATTTCTCACAACGGCATTTCTCCTCCTTTTGTATTTAATTTTCTACTATTTTTCTACTTTTTCTGAAATGGTCAGGCCATTTAATCAAAAACAGTTATCCGATGAAACCACATCACCATTTGAATGAATATGTATATACAGTATACACCTGCTACCACTGGTCAGGCAGTAGCAGCCCCTGTATACAATCGATATGCCAGAAATTCACGTTGTATTAATAGCCTGTATTATCAGGGTTAAATGTGATTATTAATCACATAATGATGCAGTACAGAAGTTTATTATAGGAAGAAAAAAACTGCTCATATTCTCTACTTTGGCAGCGCTGCCTTTCAGTACTGCTGTGGATGATTGACAGAGATTTGATCACATCCTCTCTATAATCACCTTCACTCAGAATCACTTGGTTTGGTCAGTGATTTTCTTCATCAAGAATGACTTAAGTTTGGATGCAATCATTTTAAGAAATGAGTAAAGTTTACCAAAAACACACACAGTATATAGTATTTAATACACAGTATATAGTATTTAAATTATTTATTTTTGTTTTTTTATTTTCACCAATGAGTTTTTACCGTCGTCAAAGCACGCTCTTTCTATCAAAGAAAAAGTTCTAAGAGACTATACCAACTTAAAAAAAGAAAAAAAGAACGTGAATGTCAGCGGTCAGCTCTTGGGGGCTCGCTGATATTGGAACGTTTGTATAACGGAAGTAGGAATACGTCGTACGCTCCTTATTTCCGGTTGCGGATCCGGCGCATGAGACACCAGTGTTAGCCATTTGGGCTTCCAGTAGGCGTTCAAGTCAAACATTCGGGCACAGTGGCTACATCTGATTGATTGAAATGGTGGGTTTTTGAAAACAATTCTCGGTTGTATTTTGTTTGAAATGGTAGTCGTCTGGTCTCGGCAGCATATAAGTCTCGGCAGCTAACGTTAGCTTTTGTCGGAGGTTAAAATGATTCGTAGTAAAACAATGAATATAGAGTTGTCGGGGTAAATAAGGCATTGGCCGTTGATAGGAGTTTGACCTAGGATGATGCACCTTTTTGATGACTATAGGATAGTAATTAGTTTGACGTCAAGAATATGGAATGTCCACGCGAAGTTACACATGGCAACACGACTCTGCTAATCGAGTCCTCTGCTAGTTCTGACTTGCAATTGTGTTACAAACATAACGCTGTAATAATAAAACCGGTGACACGACTGAGGCCAGTACAATTGATTTATTTTCATTCAGATTAAGAGGAAAGTAGTAGTAGTAGCTCGGTATGCTGCCGTGTATTCACCAGGGATGTCACAAGTTGATATCACTAATAATTAGCGATATGAAGGCCCTAACATTTTTTTGAGTAGCGTCAGAAAACTATAACAAATGTGAAGATGAATTCAAACAATAAACAAGGCAAGACTGGCATACTGCAACAATGTTATGACATTAAAGGTTATGTTATCATGCAACGGCACAATGAAAGCATAGTAATTGTAATATTGTGATTAATTGTCTGACAGTCATTGTACCAAGTTAATGTGTAATCATGACACAGTTGATCCTAGCGTACGCTCATGAATTGCTGCCATATGCCGATACATGCTACGTTCCCTAACTGGCTCTTCTCAGGGTGCAGTAAAAATGTTTCATGAACACTCCTTCAACATGAGGGATCCACAACAGATCGGTAGGTAATAGTCACATGGAACGTAAACAAACTAATACCGTAAAAGAAACATGACTGCAGATAGAACACGGCTTCCTGATTACTGCTAAAGTAATAGTTTGCACACAATATTATAAAAATGAAATACTGTAGGAAATAATTAATCAGAGACAGCATCTTTTGTAGAGCTTGTGATAATGAGGAACATTTTTTTGGTTTGTTTATTTGTCAATATTCTGGAGAAGCCCTGAAGAAATCTAAGGAGCGCAGCAGGCACATCAACAACGCCTGTAGACCTCACCATGTTCATCAGTGTCTCAAAGGACAACGCCGCCAAGGTGAGAACTCTTATGTGACAGTAGTTCTGTGCCATTTGAGTCTAAATGAAACAGTTGTTAAAAATGTTATCAATAAAGTCATTAGAATGACACCTGGCTGGCCATCAAGGAGAACGCCCAGAGAAGAGTTTTGTTTTTACCCTAAAAAATGAAAGCTGAGTTTTTAGTTTTTAATGGTGAATAAGAAAAATGTCTATGAAGATTCTCAGTCATCCAGGTCACGATCAAGTTTGAAGAGTTCCATTAGGCAACTGGATGTGAAATTTTCTCAAGACGATGTTTCACCTCTCATCCAAGAGGCTTCTTCAGTTCTAACTGGTGGAGGGGAGTACAGCAAATATATACTGTGGGTGTGACAAAAAATGAATCTACTTCAGGTCCCTCCTGTCAGGTGGGCCGTCAGGAGTGTGATGAGTCGTTGTCATCCTCATCAGAATGGTTTCATTATGTGGGTCACAATTTCATGTCCAGTTGCCTCACGGAAGTCTTCAACACAGAAAGGAGTTATTGGTTTTCTTTTAACTCTTTTTTGGATTTGTTTCTATACTGTATGTCTAGCATATATGGAATCGTGAACTGACCCTCCAGTCATTTTTGCTTGAGACCCCTGGTCCAAAGTAGAACAACAGAAATAAGTGAATGATAAATGTATTTGAAGATATTTATTGGTAGTTTGTTATACAAGTATGTGTAAACTGAAGTAAACATTGACAATTTGCTGGGGGTAATAGGAAGATACACAAAAAACAGCACAGTAGTAGGTCTAGTTACTTTGAGTGTGTCCACTTGTTCCATTAATTTACAATGACATTTTCCTTCAGTCTAGGGGTGTTGGTCAATCTGTCCTTACTACAGACCTTGTAATGTGAATCCACTGACTTGTGTACTTATAGTGAAATAGACTTTAGAATATTTGAAGTATATCTTAGGAGATATGAGTGGTACAGTTTCATATGAATTGTCGGTTATGATTTTGTCTGTTTTAGTGTTGACAGTTTTCAGTCCAATAAAGCTAAGTGACTTGACTGTGTCTTTAATGTCTTGAAGAGAGATGACTGCTTGAATAAAAGTTTTAGTTCAAAGCTGACTGTGTGAGGCTGTTAAAAGCTTAATGTCAGCCATCCAGATAGAGTGGAGTAGTAATGAAATGTGTTTGTTTTGGAATCTAGGAAGGGGTCTTGGGCTGATGATGTGGAAATGACTGAATGCCATGTGTTGTCTCCGCAGCTCTTTGACTCTGCATTACATCAAGACTTTTAAAACCGAGAGACCCTGACGCCATTTCTCCAATCACATAAGAGGAGTACACTCTGCAATCCGTATCCTACTAGATCAAAGTGACCTTGAACCTTGCAATTGTGTGTGTTGTAGGTGGTTATGGGAGGTGGGCAGGAGGCTATGGAAGTGACCACAACCTCCACCAGGATTGACAAACTTGAGGCCAGGTGAGTTGAAGTGGTGTTTCCAGAGTATTATTGTGCAGTTGAATAAAGTGACTGTTATCTTCATCTAAACAAAAGAAAAAGATGAAGAAAATGTGCAGATGTCCCTAATTCCATTGTGGTGTTTGCATTAGCACTGGAGAAACCACAACTTTGTTACAAACAAAGGCCTTTATGTAGGGATTAAATATGTGTTTAAAGCATTGAAATTGTTTTACTGTTGATAGTGAGCAGGCATAGTGATGTGTGAACATGTAGTTGTAATGTTGGTGGTGCTGTTGAAGTGACTACTTTAAGGAAATCCTGTTTGTGTTAACATGTGGCACAATGCTGTGTTCTCCTAATCTGCAGGTTCTTCTATGCTGTGTAGTAGGAGGAGGAGTTTGGCAGAGTGAAAGGTCATTTTGTCCCATCAACTGTGTGGCGTTCCACACCAAGAGGTAAATGAGACCAACACAGCTTTTGATTGTGTTATTCCAGCTCATTCCATTCATTGTGATGGAATAAATGCTATATGTATTTGTCTCTAACAGATGCAATAGAGGAGAAAATGGACACGTGCACAGAATGACCTTTGACTCTGCAAACACCATTTTGGTCCAATCAGCAAGAGGTAAAAGAGACCAACAGAGCTTTTGATTATGTGTTATTCCAGCTCATTGTCAGATAGTTAAGTGTCAGATTTTTGACCATTGCACTTTTATTGTGAGCTCTAAACCTTCCAGAACTGAAGAAGCTTCTTCTAAAGGTAAAGAAAGAAACTTTTTTTGGGAGTTAGGTTTTTTTTTTTGTCTGATTTTTTTTTCTTTCGGATTTGTCCCTTTTTTCAGGGCTTGCCTGATAGTCACTTTTATTGTGAGCTGTATTTGACTTAAGAGTTGTGAAGCTTCTTCTAAAGGTGAAGAAAGAAACTTTTTGGACTTGTTTTTTTTTTGTTAGTTAATGAAAAAATTAATTGTGTGCCGTATTTGACTGCTGTAAACCTTCCAGCGTAAGCCTTGTCTTCTTTAGGGAAAAAGGGAAAAAAATTAAAAAAAGGTTGTTTTTTTAGTATAGTTATGTAAAACTTCGTTGTGCCTTAATGCTAGTCACTTTCATTGTGAGCTGTATTTGACTGTTGTAAATATTCCAGAATAAAGGAACCTGTTGGACCACTCCTTTCCAAATATTTGAATATGAATGAGTTTTGCATTGCCTTTTTAGGCGTGCATTGTCAGTCAAAGTCAAGGATAAGGATAAGGGTAAAGGAAAAGAACAAAAACATTTTTTTTCAATTTTTTTATTTTGTTAGTTTTGTAAAAAGTAAGCAGTAAGTTAAAAAAAACACAATGAGTGAAATAACTTTTGACTCTTAATAGCAAAACTTCACATTCACAAAATATACAATCACAAAGTCTGTAGATACCCATTTAAAAACGATACATGTCAAATTACAACAGTAATTCTTAGCTTTACTTTAACACTTCAGCTAAAGATGGAGGGATTACATACAACGCTAGTTCTGTCAACAACATGTACTCACAGGATTCAACGAAGGTCCTTCTCTTCCATCTCTTTTGCAAAGACAGATAAGTAAATACTATAACACTACTTGTTCTGGCTGTAGTCAATCATCCACAGGTTACCCCTCTTCTGCTTCCCTTTTCACTGGGTTGGCAGCATTCCTGTGACCTCCTCACAGGCTATTCTTTGGTCATGGGCTCAGACTTCCCGTGGCCTAAAGGAAGTCAAGACAATGTCATGTTAAAACTCTAAATAACAAAAGCATTGAAGTGCACTAAGAAACTCCACCTGAAGGGGAACATGTGGATATTTCTCAACACAAAGGCTGCAGTTTCAACAAAATGCTAAAACTCTTCAGCATGATCACTTACTGAAACTGCAATCAAATGTCATTCTTGGGAAGTGGACCACTGCGCTCAGCTGGTACATCTCCATTACTTTGGCTATGACCTAAACACAAGATGCACATAAAAAAAAAAAAAAATGTCCACAGAGAAGCTAGGAAAAATAACATAATCACACTCACAGTAAAACACACAGCTTTATAGATGGCTTCGTGGGTAATTCACTGCCTAGTATTTGCTCTTTCCAGCCCCAGTGTCCTGTAAACATTTCACAACACTATACAAATGCTGTCCAAAGTTTCATTTCTGGTGACAAAAAAAGTGACATGTTTCATTTCTTACTTGAGCAGCTCAAGAATGGCCAGGACGATGTCGTTAACGTAACAGAAACCAGATGCTTCAGACTTGTTGGCATTGTGGAGTCCACCGGTCTGCTGCAACACCTGAAAATATTTACTTAATAATAACTCATAACTCATAAAAATAAAAAGTCTCC